GATTTGTAAATACATGTCTATGATTTTGCAAAAAGGACTTTATCTTCTTGCCGGAGTTTAATGTTGTTTTGTTACTTGCTACCGGATGTCTGAGAGAACAAAACACGGGCGTAGAAAAGACTGTAAATTGTTTTAAACGTGCACAGTAACTGAAATGTAAAACTGTTAAAATAAAGGCTCAATAACTGTTGCACAGATATAATACACTACGCATCCATTTCTCTTCCCTTTGTGCTTTGCCATTTTTAACACGAAGCATTTACAATGTGCGCATCTGGTGTGCAGAATGAGGCGCTTGAAGCAACATGGCATCAAGCGCTTCGTGCTCATAGACTATAAAAACAGTTCGTGCTGCACTGTATTTGATTTGTCGTATCGTATCTATCATGTGTTGTTGCCTTATTAAAAAATATGCTATACATTCAAAATAAATGTATTTTAATTTGTAGAGAAACCGAGGAGCTCTGTGAGGTTTATGTTTTTTGACTTCTCTAGTGCCTTTAACACCATCAGGCCCATCCTACTGGAGGAGAAGTTGAAGAACATGCAGTTGTACACTCCTCTGGTCTCTTGGATTATGGACTACCTCACTGGCCGCCCCCAGTACGTCCGCATACAGAACTGTGTGTCCGACACTGTGATCTGCAGCACCGGTGCTCCTCAGGGGACAGTTCTTTCTCCCTTCCTCTTCACCCTGTATACATCTGATTTTAGTTATAACTCCGAATTCTGCCATCTTCAGAAGTTTTCTGATGACGCTGTAGTTGTAGGATGTATTCAGGGTGGTGACACCTCAGAGTATCAGATGGTAGTGGACAACTTTGTTACCTGGTGTGAGCTAAACCACCTACAGCTCAATGTCAGGAAAACAAAGGAACTTGTAGTGGACGTTAGAAAATCCAGGACCCCTGTCACTCCTTTGTTTGTCCATGGTGAGGAAGTGGAGATTGTTACAAATTACAAATACCTGGGAGTCCATATAGACAACAAACTGGACTGGACATCAAATTCAACAGCACTCTTCAAGAAAGGTCAAAGCAGGCTGTATTTTCTGAGGAGACTCAAGTCTTTTAACGTCTGCAACACTATGCTGCAGATGTT